TTTGTGTTTGTTTGTTTGTTTGTTTATTCGAGACAGAGTCTCGCTCTGTCGCCCAGGCTGGAGTGCAGTGGCACCTTCTCGGCTCACTGCAAGCTCCGCCTCCCGGGTTTAAGTGATTCTTCTGCCTCAGCCTCCTGAGTTGCTGGGACTACACGGGTATGCCACCATGCCTGGCAAATGTTTGCATTTTTAGTAGAAATGGGGTTTCATTATGTTGGCCAAGCTAGTCTTGAACGAGAAGGAGAGCGTTTTTTTTGGCCTGATTTTACACAATCACCATGCACTGCATTCTGTTGAAGTCATGATGAAGCCATTTATGAAGGAGAAAGGCCGGGGTAGGGGTTGAGGAGAGCAATCCAATCTTCCTGATAAAACCACATGATTAGCAAGTTGAGTGGTCTTTGAAAGTTCATAATAGAGACACATACAAAAAAAAGATTACAGTGAAAGTTTGACCTATATGTTCTTCCATATTGATACCATGCCTCCATGATTCTAAAAAAAAGATTTTGAATTTACAGTTAGTAATTCATAAGGAAACAGATAAGGAGATAAGTGTAGTGTCTACTACACCTTAAGTTGTATGAAAACAGAGCCATGGTAGCCACAGAGCCTAATTCAGTGGTGACACAGGACATGCTCAGTAAATATTTAGAGACTGGCTGTGGTAGGTAACTGAATGACTAGATGGATATGAATATTAATATTTAGGAGGCTGAACCATTTGTGCATATATTAAGGTTACTCAAGCCTTCTTAGCAAATAACAAAGTTTAATATGCTAGTGTATTATAATTAAACATTATGGCTTTTGTGGGTCAAAAACAGTCATATTTGGGGAATTTCATATGGTTCAACTTTATTGGTGTAGTTCCAGAGTAAGCATAAAATATATAAATACTGAAGTATAGTCATTATTTTAAATATTTAAAATAATAATTCTTATAGCAGTGATGATAGATATCTTTAAAATCATCCATAATTCTACCATCCTCACATCCCATTAATTTCATTTATCTCTTTCTTCGTAGTCTATGTGCAATTTTAAAGCTATCTTTATTTTATTGTCAACAAAACATGGAACTGAACATTCATCAGGGATGTTTCAAAAACTGGTGATTCAGCCCCAGTAACTTAGCTGTCTCATTTTATCTAAAGGGAAATTTGTTTGAAACAAATTTGCTAATCGCAAATTAGCTCTGATAATAGGCATAGCTTATGTTAAGTGAAAATTTTACTTCCCCTATTTCAATATAGCATAAGACCACACAAGTGACAATTATCTAAGTACAATACATTGTTTCTTTCTAATATGTATTTTATTTA